TAAAAACAGAAAGACACACCAGATTCTCAACTACAGATGGTCCTTGAACATATTGTGTGTGGTATGCAGTTCCCCCCAAAAATACAATCAATTCTAGGATTAGAAAGAAGACATATTTTCTTCTAAAAGAAATCATCAAACTGACACCATATATCAGAGCAAGAAACTGTAACACAAAAAAAAGTCTGATTTCCAATCTTTTGATTGTCCTTTACTTTACGTGTGATGTGCTCTGAATTGTGATATTTCATTAAAATTACTTTGTTCCACATGTCACGTTCAAAAATTCACCAAATATTAACTGTTTGCGCCAGATCCTGTAAAAAACTAAAAATTCTACACTTCTTACTGCAGCAGAGAAGTCATGACTCATCCAGCCATGGTTTACGTAACAAAAACTCTTTTTTTGGGGTAAACTGCAGTCAGTATTCACATTAAACAGAGAGGATCGGGCTAGAGACAGGTAGATGTTTTGAATTTAAGTTTTTTTGTTAAACAAATACTGATAAAAAAAAAAAAAATCATCTTTATTGTTTTCTTTTAATGACTGATTAGCATTATAACTGTATCATAATGCAAAGAAAATATTTTGGAGCTCTCTCTATATCTAGTCATATGCCCAAAAGCAGTTTGGAGCTCAGAGAGTTAATTAAAAACACCAAACGACAGAAAGATAAACTGAAGACCGACGTTATTCGGTGTGTACCTGACGCAGCGGTGACATAGCAATTGCTGGAGTGATGTGAGCAGGCAGATTCACAGGTGAGAGAAAGGAGGTCTGGACCAGAGGAAACAGCTACACCACCACCACCACACCAGAGTGGGAAAAACGGAGTTGGAGACAGGGGGAAGAATATGGAGGGTAGATGGTTGACATGCAGGAGGTTGTGGAAGATCAAACAGGGAGACAGCAGGGACTAAAAGAGCATTAATAACCCAACTGAAACAGTAATTATACAGCAAGTAAGTTCAATTGTACTGTAGATTTACTGGGGTAGAAATGTACTGCAGTAAAAACAAAAGGCTTGAAGGACTAATTGGTTTCTTGGTGTTGTTCACAGATTTAAAGCGTCTACATGAAGATGACAGGAGTATAAACCTTAATGATTTGTACCTCAAAATCACTATGTAATTGTTGGAAATCAAAAAAGCAGACTGCTTTCTGGTACAACGTACTCAGTCATGCATTTATTTTACTGGATTCCTGGTGGAAAACATCTCACTGAAAGCACTGCAGTGAGTTCGGCAGGAACTAAGTCTCTTATGAAGTGACTGTGAATTGAAATGAAGAATTGTTGGATTACTTACCTGCAGGTGATCATCAGGTGTTGGCATGTCATTGGAGTACTGTAGAAACTGGGCCACATAAGTCATAATGGACTTTTCCTCCGGGTCTTTGACATCGACATCTAAGATGAAAGAAGAAAATGATTGTTCAAATTATTGTTCAGCGTGGCAGGGCTTACTCTCAGTTGTCTTAAACACCACTAAGTAAAAGTGATGTTATTGCTCAAGAATGTAATGTGTGAGTACAAACTGAAATTTATTGTTAAGTGCAAATTTAAAAGTCATTATATCTGAACTGTTAATTTTTTCTACACTATATGTAGCATTTAAGTCAACTAGAGAATCAAAGTTTAGGATTCAAAAGTGATTATTTTTAAAGATGATTCATGCAGTAACGCAGAAATATAACATTTTATCGAAACACCCTGCAAGAGATCATCAGCCTCACCCTGGGGCTCCAGCAGGCGGGGGATGTGGAGCTCCCGCTCAGCCACGTGAAACGCTTCTTCCAGGTTCTCCTGGTTGCTTCTCGACGGAACCAATGAGAGGTCGACTAGCTGTGGTCTGAGAGAACACAGGATGGCCAGGAAGGCCTCTCCACTTCTCCAGCTTGACTTGAAGTCCCTCACACTGACAGAACAATGAACTCTGGAAAGAGACAGACAGACGCAACAATAACAACAACAAAAAACTTCATCATGATCATCACTATAACGCATAAAAAAGACACAAAACTTTAGTAATTGCTGCTTTCTTGTACACAGATATTCAGAAAGTAAACTATGGAGCACTTAAATGTAAATCGCAGGGAAATGATACAACATCCACAAACAAGGCTCTTGAGTCTAAACAATCTGTTGTTAAAAACATTAAAATATATGAACATAAATACCCTACTTTTGGCACTGGTCCCTGACCCACATGAGCAGGGCCTTCTTGGCAGATATGCGGAAGCGTCTGTGGAGAGGCGACGTCCGGCCTGCAGGGACCGGACTAGCTGGGACGGGGCTGCCAGACCAGGAGTCCAGGCTGGACAGAGAGTCCAGGGAGGAATGACGAGAGCTGAAGGAGAGAGCATTGGCCAGCTCCTCAATCTGAAACAGACAGAAAGACATAGATAAATCACTTACTATATATCACATTATCAGTACCCTCATACATTTCCTCAACTGTGAAATCTGACCAAAACTTATAATCAGTGCATTTAGCAGTAGCAACAGTAGGTCAGGCACTAATTAGTGTTTTACAGTTGCTACACTGGTACTCACGTGACAGTGGAGAATGATGGTCCATATGAGGCCGAGGATGATGGATGGGCGCCCATCTATGATATCTGGGATGTTGATGTTCACCAGTTTAATCTGCACCAAACAGCCATGACAAAAGTGTCAAACACACTCCAGGTGTTATATTGCAGTGTTCTCTGGTGTGTAAACTTACAGATTTTTTCTTGAGAAAGTTCAGTGCTGTCTCAATGTTGGCCCTCTGCTGGAAAACCCCACGGCCCCTTTGTCTTTTCTACGAAGACAGTTGTAAAATCAGCTATACAGCGCTGACAGCATTCATTTTAGCATGTTGATGTTCTGTTTTGGCTTTTAACACCCCTACTGCTTGTCTACGGAATAATTATAGATCTCTGAGAAGAATTAGGAATCTGCTCAGCGCACTGATGTCAAAGACGTTAACTCACCATCGACTGACCACTCATCACCTCCAGCAGGTCAAGCAGCTGTGCCCCATCTCTGAGGTCAGAAAACAGGTCTGACACAAATGAGGGAGGGCATCTCTGTAACAGTGCACAAAATCCAGTCTTAAATAAATCAGTCCAGTGGCACAATATCATGAAATAAATGAGTTTAATGTGAAAACTGTTATCCATCACTGATTCGACTAGTTACACAAACAGTCGGCTTGTTTATTTTATAATTCAAAATTGTATCATCTCTCGATAACTGCTTCTTTCTACGTTAACAAGACACACAAGTTGAAAAATCTGTCCCCATATAAACAAAAGTGAGTTTCCAGTCAGGCTATTTGGATGAATGCGGTTACAGAATCACCACCTCTTTGCAAAAAGCACATGAAAAAGATTGTTTCTGAAGAATGGTAATGCCCTTTTCCAGACATTTGGCATCCTCAATGCAGAAGAGTACTGAGTCTTTCTTGAAACAAGGGGGGCACATGAATTATATGAATATCACTAATGAATGTACTGACTTTTGTTGCATTGAGTTCCTTGTAGGGAATCTGTATTTTTAATATAGTCAATCTGAAGTGTTAGGTTAATTTAACATAACAGCAAACACTCTACTGTTCAATAGAAATAGTCGAAATAATGCATTTATCATGAGGTGATACAATTTAGAATCATTTGACATTTATGTGACATTGCATATTGTAGTATATTGTAATTTCTGAACCAAAGTAAGCTCAAGTGCAACAGGAAGCACCAAGCTTTATGAAAAATGTAGTGGTATATGCAGGTATATCAACACTTGCGGGACAATAAATGTTAATATAAGATAGTATATTTGGTCAATTGGACAAATTGGACCTTTTTTTAATGCTACACAGCACCTTTACAAATAAACCCCAAAATTCACAGGGGGAGAGCCCACCAACTCTTTTATAGCCATATCTTAAAGACATGAGACTTTAATGTATTTATCAAAAAGCATTTTCTGGCTTCAAGCATCAGATTAAGTTACAACAGTAAACACTGTCTTACAGACATAATGGAGCAAGTATCTGCCTGTCAGAGTTGTCTGTGGGCTCAGAGTGGAGTGACAGATGGCAGGTTATGAACAAGTGATTTTGGAGTTAGAGTTACAGTCCTATGAACATGAGGTTATGAAGAGGAGTCTCGGTTCAGATTACGTGCCGCTCTGCTCAGCTGGACCACTATTTATATTTCGGGCTCGTGTCAGCAGCTCAAGGTCTCTTTCCAGCCTGAGCTGCTCCACTGCTGCATGACCAGTGAGTCAGCATGTTACACTCCACAGCTCGCTTCATATCATTTACAGCTCAACCGCAGCATGACGTCACTCACTTCAGCACTTTCTATGTTCTTGGACATGTTTCATATGTTACCACTCTTTCATTGAATATTAAGATAATGATAAAGTGCAAAAATAAAAAAATGTTTTAAGGCAAAACGTTAATCTGCAATTCTGATAGGGCCACATCGACATTTGTTTTTTGATTCTTTGCAACACAAACATCCTCGAAGTTTTTCATGTTTGAGAATAAATGCAGTATGTGCAGAACACTTCTATTCTTACATGTGTTACATGTGATGCATGTCTGCCACCTTCAAAGTTTGTGTAACATTTTCACATTAGTTCCTTTCTGCAGTATTGCTCTTGCTTCTTTCCACTACACTCTAAAATCCCCAAATACCGTACTCCAAAAGATAGATTTTCAATTGACACCTGTGTTAACAAGTCATTGTGGAGGAACTGCAGCATTTACTTGGAAAACAATCAGCTATTTGACATCACCCTGAGCAGAACTATCACTCTGACAATCATAAAAGAGATAAAACTCAAATTTTCAACTGCTTATTTTACATCAGACTGTGTTGCCTTCAGCTTGTTGGCTTCGAAACACATTAGAGATACGAATATCCCAAACACAATGAAAGATACTCAGTCATTATACAAGCATCACACAAACATGACGTCCCAACATACCTTAGCAAGTTGAGCATTTATCCAGTTGGTGAATGTCCTCTTCTGAATCTGTTCATGCTCCACTGTTAGGGAAAGAAAGAAACTGTTTATACACAAGCAAGACATATTATATATCAGGGGCTTTCTGATGTCATATGCAAAAGCTCCACTCACAAGTTTTTCTGTGAACTGTCACTTTCACTTCCAGCTGGTTTAAAAACCACCAGCTAATGCAATAAATGTACAAAATGCTTTATCAAATACATTCCAGTATATTTCTCCAAACAACCTGTGCCCTTGTGTAGTGTTCATAGCTGGATCGTGCTGCTGTGAAGTTACCTGCAGTGGGTGCTGTGGGTAAATGTAGGTCATGAACTACTCACCAACATCAGAAAACCGAACAACTTTTCGACCTTCCATTCTTATAATCAATAGTCAGCAAATCCATGTGTAACAACTAAGAACAGTGTCAACTGCATCAGAAAACTTGCTCTTCGTCTTTTGCTCTGGACACCCTGGAGTGAAGGCTTCCTCTTTAAGCTAAAGTGAGGCTAAGGGCTAGGATCTGACTACAAGATGGGATGGTTTCCAAGACAGTGACAGACATAGATACTGAGACACACACACGCGCGCGCGCACACACACACACACACACACAGCAAATATACATAGAGACACACTCACAGTCATGATGAACTTCCAGACAGAGACATATGCACATACACAGGGGTACTAGACCACATCCTGAGCTCCTGTTGCCAAAATATGAAACTCTTATGGTATACACCATTATGAAATCACTATATATGACATTAGAAAGGTTTTCCCTGACTAATATGATGGAAAGTTTAACAGGTAGCTTTGTAGATTGACTATTTGCCTGTTTCAGCTGAAACTTTTCTTTATTAGCAGGATAAGTAGAGCCAGAGACCACCTAGGGGTGCATGACTGAATTGTATGACTGCATCCAACATAAAAAGACGAATGATGCTTGTAATTAGATGGTTTTTGTCACTTTCATGCATCTTTAATCACTGCTTTCTGTGCAGTGTCTGTTCTCTAGAGTCTTAGCTCAGGCATGTTCTCAGTTTGTGCTGCCGTTAAGGCCAAACTGCTGAATCACACAGTTGTGTCTCTTTTGTAACAGATGAAATTTAGATTACAAGCATGCTAAAGGAAAATTGATATCATTACTGAGGGAATCAGAATCACTTTCCATAGACTACCTTGTTGATATCAAACTTGACCATGAAGACTGAGTCACTGATTCTGCTGTTTGTTTAAGAGCCTGCCGAGGCAGGCAACACCTACGCTTATTATTCGCTTGACTCCACCCAGTTCACCTGGCATTCACAGCACAAACACTTCAAATTGTGTTTTCATGCTCTTAGTCCATTGTAAGATTGGCATCAGTCAAATATGTTTTTTTTTAGAGCAAAACACAGTCTATACATAATTATAGATGTTTTCAAGCAATCAAACAAACAGAATACACACACAAACGAAGGTTCCCTCTACTAAGAAATCAGTTTTGGTCGTTGTCACTTTACTGGGCCTTTTCTTGACTTTCACGATGCAGAATGATGCATGTTCAGAGTTCAATATTATAAGACTCTTTTCAAGCTGTTCTGCTGAAGGTGGAGTTTCTCTGTGTCAACCTAAAGCCTGACTTTACTGTGTGGATTTATCACATCACAGCTAGTTTGGAAGACAGTGCAATACGCAATCTACTAAAGTGATGTGGAAACTTTAGGGTTGCCTTGCACATACAATGAGAATGAAATAGGAGACAATGTGCATCCAGTAGATCAACTTTCAGCTTTTTCACTGAGGGAGGAGGAATTGATCAGATTAAGGATTTTCATCAAGGTAATTGAACCATTTTTTGGAAGAAAAAAAACATATCAGATAGAAATTATTATTCAAACTCGGGTAATTTGATATTCTTCAAGTATGTTTAGAGGGGACGTTTAATGTAGTGACAGGATGTTTTGTATGATTTTTTTGGTATTAACCTGTATATTACTTAGTTTTGAGGCATTTTGTCTTTTCAGCAGTCAGGGGAACACACATACAGCAAGGCTCAACTGGCTGAGACCTGAATCAGGGACTCAGTGCTGATAGCATTTGTGCCTTTGTGATATGCACCATAAACACTCGGTTATCAGGTCACACCCATGAAGTACTACTACTACTGCTTCGGCACTTCAAAGTGTGTGTTTTGGCGCATTGTCAAAGTGTTTATATCAGATATTCTCTGATACACCATAAGAGAATATCTGATCCTGAACCGGATTTTAACAAATGTGAGAATACATAATAAACACTGGGCCTGAAACAGGTGAAAGACACAACTTGCATCAGTACACAATAGAAATGTTAAATATTATACAGTATATATGTAAAATATTCACAAAAGCTTCTTTCCCTTTTGATATGTGCATCACGACAAAGCTGCAACATTAGGCTGTAAATATTCATTAACACAAGAAGACAGATTTGTAATAAATAAATGAATTCATATTTGAGAGAACAAAAGTCAGAGAGTTAACAAGTTTTAATTACAAAATATTTGCACAATCAAAATTAATTGTAACTGTAATTGTAATTTGGAAGTAACCTCATTTACCTGTTCTACTCTGTAGTTATGCTGTGTGCAGTAACACAATGTGTTTGTTGATCAAACTCAAGGACAATAACTACGATTATATGTGTGATTAAAAACCAGTTTGACTTGAAAAATGAATGTTTTCCTTGATAAATTATAGGGACACTTGTACACCTGATGGCTGGGGCTGAACAAGCTGAGGTTTTCTCAACCGTTTTGGACTCTTTAAAAGAAAAAAAGCACTTATTTTATGATATTGCTAACAATACAAACTGCATAGACTAAACAAACATAAACAGAAGAACTGAATTCTCCAATTCAGCTGGGCAAACAGTGAACAAAGCAGCTACAAAAATGTTTTTTAATTAAAAACTATGTGGGAATGCAAGTTCCATCTTCTGTATGTGTTTGTTGCGCAGACACAAGAAACAGTAAACAACGTAGGTGCAAAGTAAAACTGACAGCAGTGGGTCACAACATCTATGAAAGTACAGAAATAGCCTGACCTTGGAGGAGCATGTGCACATTGTCAATATCCAATGGAATGCCTCCATCGTCTTCTTCTGCTCCACCTGAAGCCATGGAGCCTCTGACCACAGCCCAAAACGAACCTCAGGAAGGTCCACAAGATGCAGATTAGTATATCATCTACTCAAAAGAAAATCACAATACCCAAAAAAATGAATACTGGTGGGGATTTTTTTTTCCAAAACAGCTTCACTGCGTGATTAGTCATGTTAGGAATACACTGATCCACACCCTTTCATTACCACTGACACACACAGTTACAAGCACACACATGCAAACACTCAAATCAAAAGCTCAGCAAGGACGACAAACTGCTGTATGGAAAGAACGGGTAACACACTGATACAATGTGGACACATAAAAATAGACGACCTGGTCACAAATCTTCAACATACCTGTAGCAGGGCTGCAGTCACCACACACAGCGACTGTAGTGCATATTGCAATGAAGTGCCCAGTGGAGTGTAAACAGTGCACAGTAAAGCTCCTCAGCTGTGTCCTTTAAAAGTGACACAACTCTGTGCTGATTCAAAGTGTTGCGCGCCTTCAAATAGGACTTGGCCTTTAGTTGCTCATAAATGAAACAAGGTGCCCTGTGCGTATTATAGCATGAGGAAAGAAAAGAGCGGAAAGTCCCGCCCTCTCTGCCTGCAGGTCCAACCAAATCATTCGTGCTCGTGCAGGTTCTCAGACAAACTTAGTACCCTTTGGCAAAAAACTAATCATATATTGGCAAATGCTTGAGACAACTTCTTTGTGTTTTAGCTTTGTTTGCAAAAGCAAATCCTTTTCTTTCAGGAAGCAAAAGTGTAGTTTAGTGTCCTTTTTGTTTCCTTTCTTTTTAATTTGTCTGTGCACTATTGCAGTAATAAAACCACTGGGAACAAGGTTCATCTAAGGGGTCATTCAAACCCATGACTCTCCAATATACAGGACTTAGCTAAATTTCTTATCAGTTACTTTATGTGTTTCACCTGGAGAGACAGTGGGTGCTTTGAACAGCACGTTACACAATACCTTTTTTTATCCTTGAGAGCAGTGCCAGTGTTTTATTTATTATTTCACTATGGTGAGCAGACAGAGCTGGTGGACAGTCTGTGTGGCACAAAGCAGCTGCAGAATCACGTCAGATTCCACCTCTGCAATGGCAGAACAACAAACTATATAAAAGCAGTACAGGCTGTGAAATGTTAGATTTGTTCCTCTCAGAAAATGCACTGTGGTTGAAATTAAAAGTGAGGATTGCGTTTTCCCTCTAATAGGTTATTGTAGTGTATGTCTTCTGAGAATAGGCAAGACAGAATAAGGAAAAGGAATCTGTCAGCAGCATGAAAAAGTAAATAACAATCATCAAACTCCTTTAGTTTGCTATTTTGACTTAGCAAAGCTCAAACATGCCAGGGTAACTATCAAAAAATAATTTCAGCAGTTATTTACCTAAAGTAAATAAATAAAAAAGTAAGTAAAAATGAATTTGCTTTAATTTAAAGTTTATCACATGTGATTTTTTTATTATTACTTAGAGTGTATATTACACTGCATTTTGCATTCTGTATTTTCTTATTGTTTATTTTTACCTACTGGATATTTTCGCATATTTATCTGCATTTATGATGGTGGTAACTTTACTCTTTGCGCTGTAACAGCCAAATTTCCCCTTGGGAATTAATAAAGTATTTCTATTCTATTCTATTTTAAACATGTGGACACAACACCATGAAACCTGGAAACTCTTAGTGACCAGTTGTTGGCCTGTGATCTCACTCATAATGTGTCACAGTTCAGTTCTGAGTTCAGGTGGTTAACTAATCCATAAAGTTTGACACAGCCTTTACTTGTATGTGTTTATATATATATATATATTTATATATATGTATATAAAACATAATCTTGGGTTGCTAAGTGGGGGCTGAGCCAGACAGTTTTATAGGGCTGGCTGAGAGACCAACATTCATGCAAGGGTGACACAATGCCTCCACTTTTTTTTTTCCAACAAGTGGCTGTAGGTCAAATTGTTCTTGTTTTTCTGGTCACTCACTCATCATTTGTATATACACCTAAACATTAATGTGAAACCAGAGGACAAGGAGAACATTTCAGTTTGGTATGTTTTAAACCTTTAATCATCACCAAAACGCATGAGGTCGTCCTATAAAACTATGTCTATATAGTTACAGTGGCTACCTTAAATTCTGTTCTGAAGTTCAAAATGCTTTAGATAATCCACCATAGTGACAACGTTTGTTTTCATGAAGGCAGTTTTTGTTTCTTGATGGAAAATGAATTTGTAATGCATTTTAAATATTTATTTGCAAACTTATAAAAGTAATGAAACTAAGAATATACACAAAACTACAACATTTAAAAGAAAACTATTTAAAATGTAGTCAATACATCGCTTTTCTATGAACCACTTTATCCTAAATGCATTCATTTTTTAATTGTCATTTAAGAATATATTTTCAAGTTAAATTCTCAAAATATATATGCATGTCTATATGCATAGGAATTGTAAATGTTTTCTTTGAAGCCTTTCCAACCTAAAGTTGTAGTGCCTAAGTCATAATAATCTGCTATTACAACATGACCTGCCACCACTTTAAGGTTTCACATTCAATGGAGAGGCTGCCTGGTTCTACTATGACTAACATGTAGCTTTGCTGCACATCTAATTTTTGCACTGAGTAGCACTGAGTTGCACTTGAGTATTTTCAGATTAAGTTCAATAACATCAGTGTCACTGTTTCGTTTTACAAAGACTGCTATTTACTCTGTAATTCGCAGTTTTGATGCAGCCAAAATAAAAATCTCTCTTTGGACTGGTGATGTCAACACAGAGACCTTTAATTCTTCCAAGTGGTTGTTTTGTTTGGCCTTAGTGTTGGAGCTGTTACTGAGTGACATAGGGAACTTCTTGTTGGGTAGAAATATTTTTTAAAAATTGCTTAGAGCTGACATGACCTCTGTCTTTGGCTCCACCTGGTGGAGCATTTTTGGTATCGCTTCTTTTCTTGCAACAAGCCAGCGGGACAAGTGACCAGGTGTTGTGAGATGCAATCAGCAGATTGCTCCAGCTGTGGCGAGACGTGGCTTGCCATTCACTCTCCAGACCTGCATTCAGTATTTAAGACACCAGCAAGCCACAAGTCGACGCCAGATCATTGTAAAACCCACGTTACTTTTGCTCTTGCTTGTATGCTCTGCTTGGCACCTTGATTCCTGTTCTTATCCTATTCTCCCGTGCTTCAGTTTCGCCACGTTCACTGCCAACCTGTGATCCACTTTTCGTTCCTGATTCCCCACTGTTGGATTCCTCTGGCTCCGGCCCTCCATATCCTCTGTGTCCCTCTGCTGAGGTCGTCTGGTCCACCTCCATCTCCTCTGACTCCCCCTCACTAGTTTCTTGTATTATAGTAAACCCTGTCTCTTGCCTACTCAACCAGTAGTTGTAAGTTTTTGTATTAGGCTGTACAGCAGCATTTCACCACTTCCTGTGGTTGAACTCTGGAAGTGTCTCTTTAGTGAAAAAGGATTTACTAAGTCTGTCATGTGATTTTACTGCTTGAAGTTCTGAGCACCCTTTGCGGCAGTTTTAAGCCAAGTGTGAAGCATGAAAGTCAGTACCTCCTGTGGTTTTGTGTCAGAAATCATTCATCCATCCATCATCAGTACACCGCTTAATCCTCACGAGGGTCGTGGGGGGGCTGTAGCCTATCCCAGCTGACTTAGGGTAAAGGCAGGGGACACCCTGGACAGGTCACCAGTCTATCACAGGGCTACACTTAGAGACAGACAACCAAGCACACTCACATTCACACCTACGGACAATTTAGAATCACCAATTAACCTCAACATGTTTTTGGACTGTGTGGGAGGAAGCTGGAGAACCCACGCTGCACGGGAGAACATGCAAACTCTACGCAGAAAGATCCCAGACGTCCTAACTGTTACATGAACCACTGAGCCACTTTGCAGCCCTGTCAGAAATCAGTGGTGCTCTATTTGGGCTGGTCCAGTGTTACTGCCCCAAAGGAGTTGTCTCGTCAGCCAGTGTTTAGCTGTACATGCCCACGGACACCGACGGTGCCGGCTGTACGTGTCATCTCTCTGACCCCTTTTGCACTCAGGCAGCACCATGTGGTCACGCAGGAAATCAGAATCTGTTGCATTGCCAAGTAGATTTTGAAGTACGAGAGATTAATATTCTCTCTCTCTCTCTCTCTCTCTCTCTCTCTCTCTCTCTGTCCCTCCTGGAAGGTACCAGTAGTCATCATTTTATTATTGACTTTATTTCATTTGTGTTTATTTTTAATTTGTTTTTTGTTTATTTTATTTTTTTGTTTACTGGATTTTATTTCTGTTCATTTTCATTAATTTTGTTGTTTATTTTTTATTCAGCTCTTTACTTAATTTCAGTCTTGTTTATTTTATTTCATTTTGTTGTTTATTTTTTTCTAATTTCATTTAGTTGTTTATTTTAGTGTTTTTTTTTTCATTTCATTTTGTTGTTTTTTCAGTATTGTTTGTTTTATTAAACTTGTTTGTTTTGTTTTATTGTTTACTTTATTTCATTTTTGTCAACTTTATTTTGTTGTTTACTTCATTTTTGTTTATCTTATTTCATTTAGTTGTTTTCTTCGTTTCAGTGTTGTTGTTTTTTCATTTCTGTTTATTTTATTTTGTCTTTATTTTATTTCCGTGTTGTTTATTTTATTTTATTTTGTGGTTTATTTCATTTTAGTGTTGTTTATTTTATTTCATCCATTGATCCATCCATTATCTATACACCGCTTAATCCTCACGAAGGTCGCCGGGGGCTGGGGCCTATCCCAGCTGACTTAAGGTGAAGGCAAAGGACATCCTGGACAGGTCACCAGTCTATCACAGGGCTACACTTAGAGACAGACAACCATGCACACTCACATTCAATTTTATTTCATCCATCCATCCATCCATCAAATCTATTAGCTTCCGCTTATCTGGGTCGGGTCATGGGGCAGTAGGCGGAGCAGGTCGTCCCAGACTTCCCTCCCCCCGGCGACGCTTTCCAGCTCTGCCTGAGGGATCCTGAGGCATTCCCAGGCCAGCCGAGAGATATAATCCCTCCAGTGGGTTCTGGGTCTGCCCCAGGGTCTCCTCCCAGGTGGACGTGTTCGGAAAACCTCACGCTCCATTTTCCCAGCACTCGTGAACAAGATCCCAAGATACTTAAACTCCCTCGCTTGAGGAAGCAACTCCCCTCCCCCACCCGGAGGTGGCAATCCACCAATTTCCGGCAGAGAACCATGGCCTCGGACTTGGAGGTACTGATCTGCATCCCTGCCGCTTTGCACTCGGCTGCAAACTGCTCCAGTGAGTGCTGAAGGTCACGGTCTGATGAAGCCAACAGTACCACGTCTTCTGCAAACAGCAGCGACGAGATCCTGAGGTCCCCAAACCGGACACCCTCCTCACCCTGACTGCACCTTGAGATCCTGTCCATGAAAACCACAAACAGGATCAGGGACAAGGGGCAGCCCTGGCGGAGTCCAACACCCACTGGGAACGTGTCCGACTTATTGACGAGAATGCGGACGCAGCTCACACTTTGGTTGTGCAGGGACTACATGGCTCGTAGCAGCGAGCCTGGGACCCCATACTCCCTCAGTACCCCCCACAGAGTTCCTCGGGGAACATGGTCATAGGCTTTCTCCAGATCCACAAAGCACATGTGGACTGGCAGGTCGAATTCCCATGCCCCCCTCAGCAGCTCTGCAAGGGTAAAGAGCTGGTCCACTGTTCCACAACCAGGACGGAATCCGCATTGCTCCTGCTGAATCCAAGGTTCGACAATCGGCCAAAGCCTCCTTTCCAGCACCCTAGAGTAAACTTTACTCTGAGGCTGAGAAGTGTGATACCACGATAGTTGGCACACACTCTCTGGTCCCCCTTTTTGAAAATGGGAACCACCACCTCGGTCTGCCACTCCACAGGCACTGTACTCGATGCCCACGCGACATTGAAGAGATGTGTCAGCCATGACAGGCCTACAATGTCCAGAGCCTTCAGCGTCTCAGGGTGAATGTCGTCCACACCTGGCGCTTTGCCACCGAGGGAGGAGCTTTTTAACTCTACGATGGATATGGATGCAGAAGCCCCCAAGTCTTCAGGCTCTGCTCCCTCAGCAGAGGATGTGTTTACCAGGTTCAGGAGTTCCTCGAAGTGCTCCTTCCACCGCTCGACGAGATCCCCAGTCTGGGTCAGCAGTCGGACGGTTTGCCAGAACTTCTTCGGGGCTGACCGAAAGTCCTTCTCCATAGTCTCCCCTAACTCTTCCCACACCCAAGTTTTTGCTTCCAGCTGCTGCAGCCCTTTTGGCCAGCTGGTACCTGCCTGCTGCTTCAGGAGACCCCTGAGCCAACCAGGCCCGAAAGGTCTCCTACTTCAGCCTGACGGCTTCCCTCACCGCCGGTGTCCACCAGCGGGTTTTGGAGTTGCCGCTGCGACAGGCACCAGTGACCTTCTGGCCACAGCTCCTAACAGCCGCTTCTGCAATGGAGGCTTTGAACATGGCCCACTCAGACTCCATGTCCCCAACCTCCCTCACGATGCAGGAAAAACTCTTCTGGAGGTGGGAATTAAAAACCACACGGACAGGGGCCTCCGCCAGACGTTCCCAGTTCACCCGCACTATGCGTTTGAGTTTACCAGGTCTGTCTGGCTGCCTTCCCTGCCATCAGATCCAACTCACTTCCAGGTGGTGATCAGTTGACAGCTCTGCTCCTCTCTTCACCCGAGTGTCCAAAACATACGGCCACAGATCTGATGATACGACTACAAAGTCGATCATCGACCTTTGGCCTAAGGCACTCTGGTACCAAGTACACTTATGAGCACCCTTATGTTTGAACATGGTGTTTGTTATGGCCAATCCGTGGCTAGCACAGAAGTCCAAAAACAAAATACCACTCGGGTTCAGACCGTTCCTCCTAATCACGCCCCTCCAGGTTTCACTGTCTTTGCCCACGTGAGCACTGAAGTCCCCCAGGAGAACTATGGAGTCCCCAGGCAGCACCCCTTCCAGGACACCACCCAGTGACTCCAAGCAGGCCGAATACTCTGAACTGCCATTTGGTGCATAAGCACAAACGACAGCCAGAGTTTTCCCCTCTGCAACACACAGTCGCAGAGAGGCAACCCTCCCACTCTCCGGGGAGAACTCCAACAAGGCAGCACTCAGCCGGGGGTTTGTGAGTATCCCCACAACTCCGGAAAAGGAGAGAGTCCAACCCCTCTCCAGAAGTGTGGTTCCGGAGCCCTTGCTGTGCGTGGAGGTGAGCCCGACTATATCTAGCTGGTAACGCTCCACCTCCCGCACCAGCTCAGGCTCCTTCCCTGCCAGTGAGGTGACATTCCATGTCCCCAGAGCTAGTCTACACCACCAGGGGGCGGTATGCCAGGACGCCTGCTCCTGCCTACCACCCGGTGGGCATAGCACCCGACCCCGATCCTCTGCCCTGAGAGTGGTGGGCCCTCTGGACAGTGGCCCTGTGTTACTTTTCGGGCTGTGCCCGACCGAGCCCCACTGGGCCCCAAGGCTCAGCCACCAGACGCTCCACGGTGAGCTCCCCCCCCAGGCCTGGCTCCAGGGGGGGCCCGGTTTCCCTCTTCCGAGCGAGGTGGCGGCTCTCCTTCTGCTGCTGTTCATTGAGGTCTTCTGAATCGCTCTTTGTCTGGTCCCTCCCCCAGAACCAATTTGCCTTGGGAGACCCTACCAGGGGCTAATGCCCTGGACAACATAGCTCCCAGGATCACAGGGACACTCAAACCCCTCCACCGCGATAAGGTGGCGATTCATCGGGGGGGCTATTATAATTTTTAGTTGTTTATTCTATTCTATTGTATTGCATTATCTTCTTTGCTATTCTATTCTATTCTATTCTATTCTATTCTATTCTATTCTAACATAATATATTATAATATATTACATTGTAATGATTAGCTGTTAATTCTATTCTATTCTATTGCATTATCTTCTTTGCTATTCCACTCTATTCTATTATAATATATTCTACTATATTCTATTATAGTATATTATAATTATTAGTTGTGTAGGTGCTAGTTATGTGTGGCGACTGTCTACCACAGGTGGCAGTGTAGCTTGGTGTGGCCGGGGAAGTTTTTTTTATTGCACAGGTGTTAGGGGCCAGGTAATCATGCATGGGTGATGGGGAGATCAGACGGTTTTTACCGCTGTCACAGCTTGCAGGCTCATCATCATCTCAACCATCGTCTACCATGAAGTAAGCATGTTTTAATTTTTGTAAACCCAAGTTGAATTAAATGGGAACATCACCCGACAGCAGATATCGCCTGGGCATTCATTCCTTCAGCGCGTCAAAAACAAGGTCTTCACCCGCACCCAGCTGAGTGGCCGATCAGCTGATCGTCACTACAAAAGTAAAAACCTTGATCTCACCTGGATAGTGTGTCGGGAACAGCCTGGAGAGCTTTGTTTCTTCTTTGAATGTCACTAAAACATCCCGAAAGTGAAGCAAAGTTCCGATTATCAGCATGACCAGGAATTCCCAGGTGAGCGCATTCACGGATTAAAATGTTTGGAACGGCGTTGCGCTGAGCACGCAACAGTGGTCTGATTTGACGATGTATTCATTCATTCATGTTCCCAATTGTGTTGATCTGCTTGCATTCATTGAAATATAAGGAGGAAAACGCTACTCAAATGATATTGTGAATGTGATTGTGTCGTTTGAAAACCGAAAACGCACGGGTTGCGTGGGAACCTTCAACATAGCGCAGTATCTGTGCTCAAGCGTCTTCATTAAAGGAGCAGTTCACATTGTTGAAAATGAATGAAATGCAAGGCTCAACTGCTGAAAAGGAGTCTACAGAGACACAAGATGATGGCACTGGACAAAGAACAAGAAAGCTTTCATTAAAAGGAATCGCAATGGCAATAGAGAGGCTTCAAAAGGAAAGGAATGCCAATTTAAAACAAGCCAGTAAATTAAAACCACAAATCACTCTTCTGGCTTCGTTGCAGCTGTTCAATTAAGTCTAAAGCAGTTCAAAAGCTTGTGTCAAAATGCTACTGATCTCCATAACTCATTGTTCACTGAGTTTCCTCTGCCTCAGGAGGAGCAGAGAAAGCAGGAAACAGGGTTTAATTCCAAAATCATCGTCATGTAAACCACCATCCTTTGTGGAAGAAATATCAAAATGGTTGAAACAAAATGGTGGTTTGCATAACGGTGATGATGAAAATGATGATGGTAAAAGCCCAAATGGTGATATCAATGTTGATGATGGTCAAAATGCAAAGGATGATGACAACATTAATCGCCATTAGACGCCAGTATTTAAACTGGGCACAGCTGATGAGCCACAGCTGCCAGCGATATCCCCTGATCGGCTCCGCCCAACATGCAGTGAACAAAAGCACACCCACCAAAACCCAAAGACAGACAAAAACACAAAAATCCAGTGAAACAAAGTCTAGGATCCTCACATCATGTCTGCCATCTTCCTCAGGTCTGAAGTCTTCTTGAGGTTTCTCCTCTGATGAAGTGGATAAAGATGTTGGACATCGGATTAGATTTTCGATGTCCCCTGGTTGGTGGTCCACAGTTTGGGGTTGGACTCCTGTTATTTTATCAATGAGGTCCACGGTTTGGGGTTGGACTCCTGTTATTTTATCAATGAGGTCCAC